TGACGTTCAAACAACCTGTTGAGTGTACAGTAGGTACAAAATGGCCAAAAGTTTTGAGAATGATTGAAAATTTGAGTATAATTACAAGCATTTCATAAGTGTCAAAGGATTTTATTAACAATTACGTTAAGTTTATGCAAAGAGTCAATATTTGCAGTTTTGGCCCTTCTTTTTCAATACCTCTTCAATTCACCCTGACATGCTGTCAATCAACTTCTGGGCCAAATCCTGACTGATGGCAGCCCATTCTTGCACAATCAATGCTTGGTGTTTGTCAGAATTTGTGGGTTTTTGTTGGTGCACCTGCCTCTTGAGGACTGACCACAAGTTCTCATTGGGATTAAGGTCTGGGGAGTTTCCTGGCCATGGACCCAAAATGTCGATGTTTTGTTTCATGAGCCACTTAGTTATCACTTTTGCCTTATGGCACGGTGCTCCATCATGCTGGAAAAGGCATTGTTCATCACCAAACTGTTCTTGGATGACTGGGAGAAGTTGCTCTCAGAGGATGTTTTGGTACCATTCTTTATTCATGGCTGTGTTCTTAGGCAGAATTGTGAGTGAGCCCAGTCCCTTGGCTGAGATGCAACCCGACACATGAATGGTCTCAGGATGCTTTACTGTTGGCATGACACAGGACTGATGGTAGTGCTAATCTTTTCTTCTCTAGACAATCTTTTTTCCAGATGCCCCAAACAATCGCAAAGGGGATTCATCAGAGAAAATGACTTTATCCCAGTCCTCAGCAGTCCAATCCCTGTACCTTTTGCAGAATATCAGTCTGTCCCTGATGTTTTTCTTGGAGAGAAGTGGCTTCTTTGCTGCCCTTCTTGACACCAGGCCATCCTCCAAAAGTCTTCGTCTCACTGTGCGTGCAGATGCACTCACACCTGCCTACTGGCATTCCTGAGCAAACTCTGCACTGGTGGTGCCCCGATCCCACAGCTGAATCAACTTTAGGAAACAGTCCTGGCGCTTCCTGGACTTTCTTGGGCGCCCTGAAGCCTTCTTCACAACAACTGAACCTCTCTTTGAAGTTCTTGATGATACGATAAATGGTTGATTTAGGTGCAATCTTCCTAGCAGCAATATCCTTGCCTGTGAAGCCCTTTTTGTGCAAAGCAATGATGACTGCATGTGATTCCTTGCAGGTAACCATGGTTAACAGAGGAAAAACAATGATTTCAGGCACCACCTTCCTTTTGAGACATCCAGTCTGCTATTCTAACTCAATCAGCATGACAGAGTGATCTCCACCCTTGTCCTCAACACTCGCACCTGCGTTAATGAAAGAATCACTGAAACGATGTCAGCAGGTCCTTTTGTGGCAGGGCTGAAATGCAGTAGAAATAGATTTTTTGGGATCATGTACATTTTCATGGCAAAGAGAGGCCTTGCAATTAATTGCAATTCATCTGATTACTCTTCATAACATTGTGGAGTATATACAAATTACCATCATAAAAACTGAGGCAGCAGACTTTGTGAAAATCTGTGTCATTCTCAAAACTTTTGGCCATGACTGTAGTACATCACCATTTGTATAGTACTGGCCTTATAATATTTTAAATTAATTAAACTGCAATTACATTTAGCAAGTTTCAAAATTAATATTAATAAAATTATCATGACAAGGCTCCATTGCTCATTGGTAAGTAGTATCCTCACTTAATGGTTGTGGGCCTCAATCTTGCTGCCTCACCTCCTACAATGGCTAAATTATTATTATCAATTACTCAATTATCACAACTGCAATATAAACCATAGACTATCNTTGTTTTTCTAATGTTTTAATAGAGTAAATAAGAAAATGTTAAATTCTGTGAATGTCGGGCGAATATCTAACTGACTGCTAACTTTACTCTGTCACCGAACAACCCAAACAAGTCCTTATCTGTTATCTTAAAGCGATGCTGCATAACCCCTAGGGTTTCTTGTGGCCATATACTCACAGCTAAAAGAGTTAATGAATTACAGGAATACCGCGGTGCCTTGGTGTACAAGACTTCAATCTGAGCATCTAAGGCAGGGGTGTCAAACTCCAGTCCTGGAGGATCGGAGCCCTGTGTAGCTTAGTTCTTTCCCTGTTCCACCACAAATGATTCAGCTCAACAGCTATGTGGTCATAAGCACAAGAAGCTGAATCAGGTGTGTTAAACGAGGGGAAACCCAAAAATGTGCAGGGCTCAGGCCCCCCAGGACTGGAGTCTGACACCTGTGATCCAAGGGGAAGAGGGCGACACAAATGTAAGCATCCGTCTCGTTTGCATACAATACCTCAAAATGCCTTCCCTTGTCGTGCCCTTAAAAAGTTGCTCAACGCATTGCAAAGAGAGACCGATTTAAATCCCAGGAGATCACTATGAATTCCTTAATGCCCGCCTAGAGAAGGTGCGATCGACTTATGTAACACGAATTCAGATGCAGATCGAGCCAGCAAATGAATGTCCCGTCAGCTGATCTGTCACAGTCACATGCTCCGGATCACAGGGTTCATACAGAGGGCTGTCATAGTCCACTGCCTTTCACTTACAGTATCAGCTTTTTACTTATTCTTCCTTTTCTTTCGTAGTCCTGTGTGCCGCCATGATTCCGTAAAGTGTGTTAAGTTGTACTCCCGGTTTTCCTTCATGCGCCTGCCAAAGGCAGAGAAATCATCCATCTTCCCCGATCTCACGTTCCCCTAGTCACTCGAAGCAGGTAAGGCTTGCATTTGCCTCTTGTCCGCCTTTTTTCTGCTATACTCATCTGATTTTGTAACGAGGTTTTCCCTTGGTCAGTGCTTTTTCGTTGTTCTTTTGTATTTCAGAATAACAGCCACTAGATGGCATTCTTTCTTTTTTAATCGAGCCAATTTTTTAAAAATGTGACGTTCAAACAACCTGTTGAGTGTACAGTAGGTACAAAATGGCCAAAAGTTTTGAGAATGATTGAAAATTTGAGTATAATTACAAGCATTTCATAAGTG